CGCCGCCGCCACCACCAGTCCCGAGCCGTCGCTCGGCTTGCAGCAGCTGTCTGCTCTGCGGCCCGAACCCGGAGGGGTCCCTCTGCACTCGCCCTGGACCTTTTGGCTCGACAGGTGAGGGGGCGCGGGGTCCCCAGTGTCCGGCCCCAGCCCGGCGCTGCCGCCGGGCTCCCGCCGGGCCTGCGACTGCAGCTTTGTCTTGGCGCCGCGCGGCCCTAGAGCGCCGTGCACTCGGCCGGCCCGGCTCACCCACCCGCGTGCCCGGGCGTCCCGGCCCCAGCCCGGCGCTGCGATGGCGCAGAGTCCGGCCCCGCGCGCGCGCGCGCGCGCTTTGGGTCCTCAGGAAAGCTGGGTCGGAAGCCCAGGTTTGGGCTGGGACGAACGGTGGTTTGGCGGCCTCGGTTTCCGGGCCAGGAGGGGAGAAGCGCAGCCCCAAAAGTTTCGGCAGCACTTTACGCCTTTATTTCCTCTGCAAGAAAAATGCCTATGGGCGGACGTCCTGGTTGAGTGGTGAGAACCCGCTTTGCCAACCCCACTGTTCCTAGGAAGGGAGATGGTCGACGAGTCAGGGATATTCGGCTCCTTGTTGTAAAGTGGGGAGAGTGATTGCTGTCTTGATTATTTCACGGGGCTTTAGGTGAGCTCAGGACACAACCTTAGCTGTGACAGCTCCTGGGAAAAGTCGACTAGCTTCCTAGGCAGTGTACGGTGATGGTTATAATACTGCACAGTGGGCATCTCCACCTTGTGCCTGACAAGCTGCTTTGGACAACTTTGTGAATTCTAACCCCCTGGCAGGTGTTTCTTTAGTGCTCGCGGTGCAGCCTTAGCCTACTAGGCGCTGGGGATTCAATAATGATCATGTAGATCCAGATGGCCTTCGTGGAGTTTCCTTCACCTTTTTCTTAAAGTAGGGACAGTTATAACTGTTGGGGGACTGCTCAGAGGCCATCTCTTCAAGGCCTTTCTGACTACTGCATCACCTTTAATTTTGTATTCTCCTGCCCTGCCTTCTTCCCCACCCCCTCAATAATGGTAATGCAGTGGCGTTCTATTATATATGACTTTTTTAGATTGATAATCTGTTTTTCCAATCCTTCAGTGCTTCTCACCATGTAAGGGCCAGAGAGCAAGGATTTTGTTTTTGACACTTGCTATGTCCACTCCTCGTAAGGAAGATGGGGCAATCTACTTCCGGAGTGATACTGCCTCGGAAACCCGGAGGGGTCACTTTGAGTTGGGTCCGACTCGACAACAACAACAACATGCCTCTCCAGTACCTGGAACCATGCCTGGCACATGGTACAAACACAGGAAATGTTTGAGGAATGTCTAGATAGTTGAATGAAAAGTCCCTTCTGAGTTTCTGTCACACAGTGGGTGTTTTATGATGCCATGCCCTCTCCCTCAGGGGTGTCCCAAGAATTTATGAAAATTTTAATGAAACTTTATCTACTAAGGAGCTCTGGTGGCATAGTTGGTAAGGCATTTTGGATGCCAACCAAAAGGTAGGAGGTTGAAACCCACCAGCTGCTCTGTGGGAAAAGGATGAGACAGTCTGGTTCCATAAAGTTTTACAGCCTTGGAAACCTATGGGTAGTTTTGCTCTGCCCTGAAGAGTTTCTGTGAGTAGAATTGACTGAATGACAGTGGCTTTTGTTTTGTTAATATGTGGTATGGTTAAGGGTTAGCAGTAAAGATATGTGACACTTTTCTGTGACATTTATTTGGTAGACACAAGGCTTTGCTTAAAATTCCTGCAAGATTTTTAGAAGTGCTCTTCATCTTTTTCAGTGAAGACAATCTCATTGTTAT